CAGGGGCCAGCTCATCCTCGTCATTCGGCAACTGACGCTTCTTGCACAACACAGCGGATGAAGTTCTCGAGAGTTCCTGGTGAAATGCGCAAGTCAAAAGATCAACTGTCATTTCTGAAGTATCGCAATGACCACTCATTTTTTGGGGTAAATTTCCCCTACAATTACCGGTTTTCCAGTTGTTTTTATTCAAGATTTTTAATTTTACACTTTATAAAGATAATATTAAAGCCAGCCTGATATTATTTGGTCTGCTCTCTGATTTCGCCACGAGAGACTACGAATTAACAATATTTTCTCATCGATGTACAAAGTGATCAAAAATTAATGTACAAATGTTTTCAAGAAAATATTTCTAGTTTTTCACACGTCTCTAAAACGTTTCCCTGATTTCAACGATTCTTCTACAAAATTCTCTATTTTTTTACCTGACTTATCCACAGCAAAAAATATTCATTGATTTTTCCCGATTTCCCATGTTTTCTAGAAAGAGACTACCCTGAGTCTGTTTAAATATGTCTGCGTTGTACACCCGCGGGCCGCAGCGGTGCTAACATGTGATAGTCGAGTGGACAGCCCTGCTACATGCGCAGTGCAGCGCTCTCTGCCTGCGAGGCGGCGTCGGCATTCTTTCGGCCGCGGCCACGCCATTAGCTGCGCCGCCGACGTCTCAGCGTGGACAATAATTGATCACAACAATGAGGCTTAATGGGCATAGATTGAGGATTAAATGGACGGAGGCAGCGCGCATGGCAATGGACCGCCGCCTGTGACTCAGGCGGACGTTCGCAAACGCCCCGCGACGCTAGCGCTTCGGCGGAAAGGCTTTCGTTCCCCCTTCCTACATTGCCAATTACGCTTAAAGTAGAGGTGAACAGTGTGGAGAAAAACCTTTCACTCATGACAGGTAGTAACATTGAATGGAAGCTGCGCCTCCGACATAACAATTTTCCTTAAAATATTCAAAATAAAAAGAACCAACAAAAACATTTAAATCAAAGTTATTTCCTTAAAATGTATATTCGGGTAGATGTATTGAAATTGCGTTAATTATCTACAAGTACTGTCGAAGTGCTTTTAAAACAATAGCACCCATTTGCTCATGGAATAGCTACTTATGATTCCAATATTCAGCACTGAACAGAAGTGCACCTACCCATTTTTTTATTAATTGTTTTATTATTTTTTATTGAATCTTATAACTATTCTCTCTATTACCCCCATATTAATTCCCTCTATTGAGGTCTTAAAAGAGTCGCGTTTTCCTTGCCTCTAGAAGAGTAATTGCTGCCCTACTTGTAGTCGTTACATAACTTAGGGAATTTAGTATACCAAACTTGCTTTAGCACCAAAAAACACACATAGTAATAATGTGAAGTAAAACAATCTACTTTATACTTAAGGCTCCTTTTAGCATTTATTTAGGACCAACTGTGTATTTGGCCCAAACCTTTGTGGCATTGCACGATGGTCGCCTCCACACCAAAGCAGATAGTTCTCCTAAAAGATCGCATGGTGTCACCAACCTTGTGCCTAACAGCTGCCATGCGCATTCCGATTAAAGAATTTATTGTTCAACGCCCAACACTCAGGACCGTCGCAAACGGAGAGGCGGACTGGCGCTGTCACTTAGGATCTTATAGCTTCACCAGCGTAGAATACCCTGGTGATTCCCCGCCTCGATCCTTCTCGCGAGAAATACGCGAGCTCTCAATTCTCATCACCCGATACGGAGTGTGGGAGCGGAGTGTGGATAAATTTCGTTACGCTGATGTAAAATGCTCCCTGAGGTATCGTGTCGTGACACACCAATGGCGAGAAAGTTTAAAATGTGTAAATTCTATTCTGCCACAAATGACATGTTTTATCGTGAAGCCTAGAATTCGAAGAGTTTCATTCTCGTACGAATTTAGTCTGAAATAGAATCAGAGCGAAACGTAGATTTCAGATTCAATACATTCGTTCCAGAAATGGTCGCAATGCATTTCGAAAAGGGCTTATTTCACATTTTATCACAGACAGATCAGAGATTCGGAAAATTGAGCTGAATGAGATTCTTGATTACGCGACAGGAAACGCATACATTGTTACTAAAACAATACGTCACAACATTCTCGGTTTTTAATTTGTCTCACCAATCAGAAAAGATTGAAAATTACTGTTTGTTTAAAAAAACAGTATTTTCAGTGATCCTCTGGTTTTATTGCTATGTCTAGTTCTGTGCTAGAGAGAAGGAATATTAGAATGTTAACAACGTATTAATTCTGATGAGCACATCAACTGCCTCCTCAGTGTGATTACAAATAATAATCCGTTACTCGTTACCGACACAAATAAACGATATATTGTCAAATTTGACGGATGTGAATATATGGAATCAAAACCAAGTTGCTCCAAACATGCCCACTTATTTATCCCGTTAATCATACCACCGGCGAATTCAAGAAAAGGGGGAGTTTCCCCTCTGGACCCAAAACAAGTATTCCTATTAAGAACTAATAAAAAGCCTTTCATTTTATGTTTTATCTGGGTACTCGTATTTTAAACGAAGTCGAAATGTTGCCACTACCCCCTATGCCCGTTTCTTCGAGAGCCCCGAATTATATCTCATTTACCTGAACAAAACGTTTAAAAGTTCATTTTATAATTAGCCCATCACGTTGCATTAACTCTTTAAAATGTATTATGTCACTGTACAGTGTGACCATTGCCAAAGTTGCTCAATTGCATTCTGCATTACGTAATTAATGTACTGCCAAGACTATTACAGAATCATCGCCAAGTTGTTCGAAACTAGTGCCAGCAGAGTTCGAAGAGTCTCATCTAACGAAATTCGCGTTAAAAAAACCTCAAACTTTGAAACTAAGTAAACGAATAAGTGTTTGCGCAACGTTGATTCGTAGGAAAATAATATTTTAAAAATCAAAATGTTTTAGGCACAAAAATAAAATCACTAATGAACGCAAATATATCAATAATAATTTATACTTTCTGATATTTAAAAAGTTGATTTTATATACTTTAATATCATATACATCCGAAAATAACTATCGACCTAAAATGTATACTTCCTTATGATGTCCATTCCCTATAATTTATGACTAATAGAAGGGGCATTCCCTCTTTTTACTCGGTCATCAATAGTAGTCGCAGACAAATGAAAATGACCGGAAGCAATGTGAGCAAAGGTCGTGGCATCAAATGTAGGTAAAACCCTGATGGGGAAATTGTTCACGTCCAACAGCAGTTCACAGCGTTACTTTCGTCAAAATATTCTATAAGAAATGGGAGTATAATCAAAGTTCTATGAGAGAAGGCTTTTCAAATAATATCAATATCTTATTAGATATAACTTAATTCAATCAATATCAAAAACAAATGTGATGTAACACGCCTTGAGCAGTACTCATAATAGGTATAGCCGCAATTTGGCCAACAATGAACAAATAATGATCGTGGTAGACGTGTGAGCCGAGGTTTATAACCAAGTTCTTTATTTGTGAAATCAGCGGTACGACGTTCAATACATATCGAAATACCTCCTTTTTCTAAGAAAATTTGATCGAAATAAGAATAACTTTTACAGTGAATAGCATTTATTAATTTGTTTTGATTGTTCTAACAAAACGAAAAATTCCTTAACGGATGCCGGTCGTTAAAAGTGGTTTTATTTTGGGTTTGGTTGCTTTTATGTCGAAATAACAACCCAGTAACATGAAAACTCGAACACAGCCACAAGTTGAATTTGTGAACCGCCTGAAGAGTAGGCAACACACTTCACTTATCTGTCCAACGTATTCTCAGGAACCCAAAAGCAGGGGCTACGCACAACGCACAGCTCTGAACAATTCTAACAAGAGTAAAAAATAACACTTTGCTGCGGAAAAATATATTTACGGAATAGTTTTCCATTCGAAATGCCATCAGAATATAATCTCTCTGCTTGTTTTGCAATGTAAGTCGGACAAGCGCATACAACTGACAACTGTGTAGGTTAGAACTAGGATGCTAATTCCTGTTCACTCCAATGTGACTCAGCTGAAAAACAGTCCACAGGAGTCCGATAATGATTTTTGCAGGCCTTCACTTGTTATTACACATCATTAGACCCACAATGTAAAGATGACAAATTGTTAGACCCGTATTACAAAATGTTTTTCTGTTAACGTCTACATGCATCATTCGATACATAACAGATTGTATGCCGTTCATATTTAAAATCACAAATTTCGGTGAATTTGTCGAAGTGACAGAAGTTAATTAATCGGTAAGTTCATAATCAATCCATGAAATTAGTAAAGCAAATTATATTTCATCGGTCGCTTTCACGTTAACGTCAGGGTCGACATACAAAATGAATGATGCAATGCCAAAAATTCAATTAATAAAAACAGAACCGTACGTTCAACATTTTTATAATTAACACCGCGTTTTACTAAGTCGGTTTTAATCAGATTCAATAATCTTCGGTTGGCCATTATTTTTTGATTTCAGTGCCCTTGTTTGTTAATAAAGATACAAGTGACAGAATGTTACATGCAATCTTGCAACATTTTATGAAAAATTCTAATCTACTTATCCTCTCCACTTTTAGGTTCTCGCAGTTCTTTTTACATGCCTTAACTTACCTCTAAAGACAAACTGTCTCACTTCCTTTCAAAAAAAAAAGCGTATGAATTAAGAATTATCGGTCTTCAAATTCTTCTAAGAATTCATAGGGTTTTCTTTAAGTTAAAAATCGACCAAATTATTCCCGGAAATTCGCTCAAGAGGTAAAATATTTTTTAAAATATTGGTTCTTGAAAATCTGGTGAAAGAAATAGTTTTAAATTTGAACCGCTTCCGGTACGTTTCAGATTTTTCCATATTAAGATTCCTGCCAATTAATTGCTAAGTTTCAAAACTTAATACTTTTTCTTTGAAGGGAGGCTCATAAAAATGGAATATAAAGTCTCCCAATAGTAATGTTTACGTAAGATTTTAACAACTTAAATACTCACATAAAAATAGGCCCACAATATTCTGCTTTATCGTCACACTTACCTGAAACATAAACACAAAGTTATAATTAAGAAGATTCACAGTATAATTAAACATCACATAGATTACATGTACTGTTTTAACTTATAAAAGCAAAACATAATTCCAAATCTTAATCAGATCGTGAATGAAAGCGAATAGAAACAAGAAAAATGACTACGAAAGCATGGCAAAAATTTTCCCCACAATAATGTGGGTACAAAAAAGATAAACTGTAAGAAATTCCTGAATTATACAATCCTAATTTTGAACACAGTCATGAATAGAAAAATACAAAATAAGATAGGCTATCAAATACGTGATGACGTTGCTACAACAATGACACATGGTAACTCAGCTATTTGGCGCATTCCACATAATTGTTAGTGTTGAACAACAAAATTCAACCAAATATACGTGACATTTTTCTCGTATTAGAAACGGTGTGTACGATAGTTCACGTGGTTGAGAGTCATACTTGCACTGTTAGTGAACCTGGGTTAGGTTTCTTTTCATATGGGGTGCGTGTTTTGTAAGCCCGCTCTGGTCAATTTGGTTTCGCCACGCAAGACTAAAAGTAGCTCCCACAGGCGCGATATGATAACGGTGGGATCTTCACCAGCGATCAAGTAATGGCATTTTCCCTCTTCACAACTGTACCAAACGCGTAGGACGCGCATGTACTGTGGCAAAAATATGAGCGATATTACTAAAACGTCATCATTACAGGAGATTTAATCAAGTGACTCCCCCCACTTCCTCCAGATCGATTTTAAGGAAGTTGCGTTTCGGCTGTGGTGCCTCAGGGCTTCAACTGTTGCCGGGAGTTCCGACGGTGGTAGAGCTTCCGATACTATCTAGATAGCTCGGTCGAACTCAGCCACTGTCTGGAGAATTCTAGCGGCCGGCTGCTCGGATCGATAGTTTTCCGTGGTTTCTCCGATCAACACCAGGCGAATGCCGGAGCAGTACCGTAACAAATGGGCCGTGGTCGCGCGCAATAGTTCCTTCCTCTTCCTTGTCCTATCCTCATCCCTTACACACACACACACACACACTAACTTGCACTACTACCCCACATGCCGGGAGACCAGTCGGAAGCATAGAGCTTGTCACGGCTTTGGGAGTGCCCCGCTGATGAGATACCTGTTGGTGGGAAAACGCCACACGTCGACATGTAGATCGGCGCCGAATCTCGCCATCCAACGGGGGAAGATCGCCACCTCCTCCCGCGATAAAAACGTGCATATGAGAGATTAACATAAACGAGACTAATGACATTAGCAGTTGACGCGCCCGGAATCGCTAATCAATCAATCGTGAAAGACGTTTCACTCGAACGTTGTCGTCCCTCCTCCAAGGCGGCGGGGCTCGGCGGGACTCCGCGGGGCGCTCGCGTGGGCGGAACGCAGCCGGGCGCTTTCCGTTTTTCCGCCCGCGGCCGCGCCGCCGCCCGTGACGCGCTCCGTAAACGGGATATCCTCCCGCGCCGCGCCGGTGAATGAGGCATTCATTACGCAATTTGAAACGAAAGGGGCCGGAGGGGGAGGAACTTTCGCCGCGAGCAATACGGGGAACGAGTCAGAGCAACGAGACGCGGCGGGGCGAGGGATGGATGGAGTGAATGAGAGCAGGAAACGAAATAAAAAACAAAACAAAAATCTGGGGAACGTGAACACATAACGTATCACAACATAGTTTATCGCACAACATGATGTGCTATCATAAAAAAAATAGGATTCAATTTTTAGAAACATTCGCAGTCTTTGTCCACGACATTCAACATGATTAAGGCAACTCGGACGGGCGACTCGGCATAAGTTTTAAATTACTAATTTCCATGGCGGTGAACGAGGAAACGACATAATAGATTATTAGAACTGACAATGATGATGTCGATCCATGGTGTAGATTATGGAAATGAAAATTACGTTGTGTATCTGAGAATCCATAGTCATGTCAACCATAGCAAATAAGAAATTTTGATAAAAATGTAATCACAGTTCTAAGATTGATTCGAACATTCAAAGCAACAAAACCTAACAAAATTTCACATCCTGTTGTGAAACAAAAAAAGGAATTAATGGAGAGACTCCTGATATAGAGGAATCACTCTCAGAACCACTTTAACGGTTGGGAAAAAAATGAACGTCAGGTAGGGCGATGACATTGCAAGATGTTGTGATGAAGCCATTTACAAATGAGTTGACTGTAAACGAACATATTGACGAATTGAGTGCATGAATATAACCAGAAGTTTTGTTCCTATCAGTAGCCAAGTGGTAGCTATCAAAACAGTCCCTTCTTATAGTAATTTTTCTCTGAATGAAGCGTTAGTAATAATAACGACCGAGAAGCAATGAAATTGTCTGAGGTAGGCAAATGAAACCATTCGCACAGCGTTACCAACAACTAATTCAAATCCTGCTGGCAATGGAAAACAACACTTGGCGGCTTCGCGCACCAAAGCACGTGGTTCCTGGTAATGACCGCGAGCACGTGACCTCGCCGGGGAGCCCTCCCGCCCACGTCACCGCCTTCGCCGCCGCAACTTCCTGTGCGTGCGCGCGCGGGGCGTCGTCGCATCCGGCTCCCCGCTTCCGCTTCCGGTGCATCGTGTCTCGACAGCTTATGACCTCCACACCTACTGCCCCGTGCGAATTAGGGCGGTCGCGGATACGAGCGATGCCACTTCCGGTATGCGGTTGCGAAATGAAACTGGACCTGTAGTGCACCCGCGCAAATGTAGGGGCAACTGTGTTGTGGCACTGATTGAGTACATTAGAGCTCTCTACGTAACATCTCTATTTTTCGCTCTTTGATTTTCATTGTCTGATATTTATGATTAACCAGATGCATTAGAACATGAATAGTTGCGATTTCGTGCTTGTTTCGGGCGCGATGGGACGGGCGTCGTTTGCAGACCAGGCGGTTTATCGACCCCAACTGATGATCTGAATGCCTCTGTTTAGATGAGAATTCTTGAGGTCGGCTTCTCTAATTGGTGATTTCTCGATTTTCTTCGACTAATTCCAGTCGTCTCCCAGTCCCGTTTTAGTGTCTTCAATAATGGGGCATGGGTCTCTCACCGCCCCATCCTGTGCACACTTGTCATTCTCATGATCGGTCAATGCAGGATAGGATAGCCTCACTTGCGGCTGAGGTCTTCATGAACAGAATGTGCCTACTATGCACTATCAAAAATCTCATATATAACAAGTAAACAAAATTATTATTGTCCACTAGTCCTTCAGTACTGTTTTAACGTCTGGTTATTCACTTACAGAAAAAGAAAAAGACCTTGATAGGTGCTGTACTTCAATTGCAGTCCTTTCGGTAGTAAAGGGCCCCTTATGACCACGGCTACTTATGCTACTTTATGAAGTGCCTTTTAATATGACTACAAACTCGAAGAGATATTTTCTACCATTTCAGTCTTGAAAACATATTTTTCGAATAATATTAATTTTCTATCAAAAATATAAGTATTTTACGATTAGATAAGTTTGTAATTATGTTATTATTAATATAGAAAATATAATATTACGAATTTTCTATAGAGGTAGTTAACATTTTTATACTCCAGTCTACACACTATTTTGCCAGACTTACGACTAATATTACAATATTTATTACTGGTTATATTTATTCACTACTGGACAATTAATCGTGTTTTCGAGTAAATACCAGCAGTGCGTGTCAGGCTGTTTGCCATCAGCAATATCCGACATTTAAGCAAATTTGTGCGCATGCGCAGAATTAAAATTGAGACATTCGGTGTGACAAATCCTTTCAGGGACCTGACGTGACGTGTAGTTGAAGTAGTGCACAGGCTCATTGGCTTTTCTAGCTGGGAGTGCCATGGATTCCAGTAAGCGACCGCCTTTACATCTCTCATTCTCACTGGCCCATCTCCATCACCTCAAAAATTTCAACAGTGAGTACACGGATGTTAAATCACGACTACGATCTGTATTGAAGAGCCAGTGCGATATGGCAGAGCGATCTAGTTAATGGTGATCTGCTGTCAATGTCGCATATACTAAATAATCAACTGGATTCCAGCGCAAATCGTTAAATATATGGCTCTTGTTCGTAGTCACTATAAACCCAGATTGGAAGGAACAAAATGAAAGTTAAGAACAATCTGGTTTTCTTGGAATAATAATTAACCCTTAACACTCAATAAATGGTTGGATGACGCATATTCCTGCGACTAACTTAATGACTTAAATTGATTTAAGTGGATGTGACGAAATACAACTTGAATGAACGAGGATTAATGAAGTTCTATGAAACTTGTGACATGAATCTCGATTAGCCGTTGAGCAGTCCATATTTCTCAGAATTGCATCCGTCCAATAAAAAGACGACGTGCTACTGAAAAAATATGAGCTGCGATCTATAATTGTTCTTTCCAATGGCCTCTCACCTGATGATTTTATCATACAGCTACATAGCTGGCTTTGGTACAAGCAGCCGACATATTCAGTGGGATTAATGATGCAATGGCCTACTTAGCTACTTGAATCTCTTCTAGCAGTGCCAACTCGACAACAGACACTCACCGCTTAACTTACTCTCCAAGCCTGTAATTTGAAGAGGATTTTAACTGGCGTGACACTAGTCGAGCGAGAGAATGAAAATCTTATAGCATACATCAATGACAGCACATTTGCGTAAAGAACAAACAAGATATGGTGCGATAGAGAAAAGAAATATCAGACTGCTCCAGAGTTTATTTTTATACGACGTAAAGTCTACGATTGGTTCACGCACTTCTGTGTTTATACTCACAGTATTAGAATATACAATTTAACACTTTCACTTCCAACGAAAAACTTCGAACTTCGCTAAGCAGCGGCCATGATCGTGTTCATTAAAGTTGCAAACATCCTATTTTGATATAATTGAGAAATTGTAAGTGAAGTGTGCACATATCTACAAGTAGTAGCGTATGATGCGGCGGGGCGGCGTTATGTTTATCTCCTTCCTAAAATCCTATCCGCAACACTTGTCATTTT